TAAAAGTATATATTTTTAACCTATTTCTCTCGCCCCAATTATGAAGGTATGTAGGCCGTGCTGCTATAATAAATAATAAAGTCTACTAGCTGCTAAAAAAAATGCTTACGTTGTGAGGGACAGCAAAACACCTTTAGGTGTTCTATGTTTGTTGTTTTCTTAAGACTGATAGAGTATTTAACTGGACATTTTGCATGTCTGATTCAGAAGGTGGAGTTCGGTAGTACAGTTGTAAGCGCGCTAGCATACCAATACCGTGGCCGAAGGTCAAACCCCAGAACTTGCAGCTCTCTCTCTCTCTCTCTCTCTCTCTCTCTCTCTCTCTCTCTCTCTCTCTGTGTGTGTGTGTGTGTGTGTCTATGCCCACAAAAAAGAACTGGTTTTGCTGTTATTTATCCGTAGCAGCCGAAATTATCATGTAAACCACCGGTCTCGAGCGAGTTTCTTTCTCCCTCTCCGCCCTTCCAGACGATAGTGTTTTCTTGTGATGTATGGATACATGGTAATTTCCATGTCGACGACGACTGACACTAGCACTGACACTCCTAATAAGAAGCCTTTCCCAAGCAATCCAATCCTATGCTCTGCTGTGAAAAACAAAATCTAAACGTTCAACCAACATCCCGGAAGGGATGTGCTCTAGGTTATAACTGCGACTAGGTTATTTGCGCCAGATAAAAAGTGTTGATGCAATCATAAAGGATGGACCCAAATATTGTCCCGACGAGCGATGAAGTCGTCTATCGGCTAGTCAATGGGTAAACTGGTCACCGATGCTTTCCCGACCGCGCCTGATAATCCACGACAATTGTTGTAATCGCCTGTATTTAACAAGCTCCTTCTTAGACGCTCAGCTCTCAACCTACTAGCAATGATTTTCTCCTATATCCCTGTCCCCGTCCTGCTAATCTCGGTCGTTGCAACACGGTCCATAAACCCACACAGGGAACAGAGGTGACAGTAGCAGTAAAGTCAGTAACCCCGATGTTTCTTCTTCTTCTTCTTCTTCTTCTCCTCCTCCTCCTCCTCTCTTTCGCGTTCACCAACTGTAATCAATAGACTGTTCGTCTACTTCTGCACTTTGCTCTTGTTCCAGAACTGACGTTTGCGTGCATATCCGTTTTACATACCTGGTTTATTTGTATGTAGACTGTCGATTTAGTAGCGAATTCCCAGAGGTTTTCATGTGCAGTACCATTCTACAGGGGAGTTAGAATTAATGTTAAATGAATACCAATTTTACTAAACCTAACCTTAACACCCTTATACTATGGGACATTCTAGTGAATTCAATAACAAATCTTGAAGCTGACGAAATGGGGTCGTCTACAATTAAAGTACCAGTGGTTCTATTCCACCCCCCCCCCCGCCCCCCTCCACCAAATAGGGCCTGGAATACACACAGGGTGTACCACCAATGCACACTGGAACCAAAGATCACTGGACCGTCAGGCAGGCATCTCGCCACAACTCGATCGTCAGACTCAACATGTTTGTGCTTGACGAGCATTTCAGATGTTCAAAAATTTCAAACATTACCTGCACACGAGTCGAGATGAGGTGAACTCCCACTCGCTTACCCTCCACCCAGCTAACAGGAGTGACAACACCAGTGAAGTCTATTAGCCCCACAGCGCCAATTATTCTTAGCAACAACATCAAACCTGACAGTGTGGCACTTATTAAACTGCTGCGCATGACTGCGAATGTTTTATCATCGGCACTAGGCAGAGAAAAAACATTCTCACTGAAGCATTGAAATCCATCAGAATACTTCACAAAAGGGGTAACGAGCGTAACATTGGGGGGTTGGAGGATAGAGACAAGCCACACACACACAATCCTGGGGACCCATCACCAGTTTTTTTTAGGCATAAACTATTTTCTATGACAGCAGGCGGGAAGTGTTAACATGATTTTGCAGACAGGGGGAGGGAGCGATGTTCAGAGTGGGCTGGCGGGGAAAAATCAGAGAAAAGAATCTGAGGATCCAATCCTGCCCGAAACTGTCCTGTTGCTTCTCTCTCTCTCTCTCTCTCTCTCTCTCTCTCTCTCTCTCTCTCTCTCTCTCTCTCTCTCTCTCTCTCTCTGACTCTCTCTCACACACACACACACACACACAAGCAGCAATAGGGAATCTAGAAATCAATGAGGCAATTGTGTGTGTGGATCCCACAGAAGATCATTAACTCAACATTAAAAGAAAAGAAAAGAAAATTAAGAGAGTACAATGTGCAACCATATCTACATTTGAAATGATAGGATTGGGTTAGTAATGCTAGCCTTACTGAAGCAGGTGCTGCAGGGGACCTACATGGAGAGCTGTGTAGACAGACACTTCTCTAAGCCATTAAGGCAAAAGAAAAACAAAGGACGCAAGAATATGCGTATAAGCGGTTTATAGTCAGAGACGATAATGCTATTTTTTTTTTTTTTCGTTCGGTTTTGTATGCTCAGGTCAGACTGTCAGTGGGCTGTTTCTATTACCTCGTAAGCCCGTTGCAGGTCCTTCATGGTTCCCCACAGCTTACTCTGCACACTTTGCTCTTAAGGCCGGGTTCCCCCCCCCCGTAGCTGTAGCAGGAGCGGGTAGGCCAGCAGAATGTGACTCAGGTGATGAAATAGGTCAGAAACAGCGGGATGGAGGGGGGGGGGTGAGTGTTGCAGGCAAAAGGAACTGAGGGTAAGAGCTAGAAGAAGGTACAATTAAAAGAAAGAAATGGAAGAAACAGTAGAAAGACTGAATGTTGAAAGCAAAGTAGAAACGACTGTCACAACTGCAAGGTTAAAAAATAAAAGAGGGGGGGGGGGGGTTAAGTGAATTGAGTACAATTTGATAATGGTAATGTTGAGGTGAGTTGATTCAAGAACCGACATCACAGCACTCAGGGCTTTCACATAAGCGCTCCGTCCCCATCTTCAGTAGCCAGTGCAGAGTTATAATACTAATGGTGCCAGTAGCATTCTGATTAAACGTCCGTCTTGCCTTTCATCTGAGCCTCCAGCATCCACAAGAACCTCTCGTTAGTCCCCGATAATTGTAATACAGGCTGAGAACTTAACCGCCTAATATATAAACACACGGCAGTCACAGAATCGTGAAAATGCTCCCCTACATATCTAAACAAGCTCCCTACATATCTAAATCGCTCATCTCTTCGTGTCTTATTATGCTTCTCAGTCCTGAAAATGCTCTCTACAGACCTACAAGTGTTCTCTACAGACCTACCATTGCTCTCTACAGACCTACAACTGCTCTATACAGACCTATAGTGCCCTCTACAGACCTACAAATGGTCTCTACAGACCAACAATTGCTTTCTACAGACCTACAATTGCTCTCTACAGACCTACAATTGCTCTCTACAGACCTACAATTGCTCTCTACAGACCTACAACTGCTCTCTACAGACCTACAACTGGTCTCTACAGACCTACAAGTGCCTTCTACAGACCTACGTGCCATCTACAGACCTACAATTGCTCTCTACAGACCTACAATTGCTCTCTACAGACCAACAATTGCTCTCTACAGACCTATAAAAGCTCTCTACAAACCTACAAGTGCTCTCCACAGACCTACAATTGCTCTCTACAGACTTACAAGTGCTCTCTACAGACTTACAAGTGCTCTCTACAGACTTACAAGTGCTCTCTACAGACCTACAATTGCTCTCTACAGACCTACAATTGCTCTCTACAGACCTAAAATTGCTCTCTGCAGACCTACAATTGCTCTCTACAGACCTACAACTGCTCTCTACAGACCTACAACTGCTCTCTACAGACCTACAATTGCTCTCTACAGACCTACAATTGCTCTCTAAAGACCTACAATTTCTCTCTACAGACTTACAAGTGCTCTCTACAGACCTACAACTGCTCTCTACAGACCTACAACTGCTCTCTACAGACCTACAACAGCTCTCTACAGACCTACAATTGCTCTCTACAGACCTACAACTGCTCTCTACAGACCTACAATTGCTCTCTACAGACCTACAATTGCTCTCTACAGACCTAAAATTGCTCTCTGCAGACCTACAATTGCTCTCTACAGACCTACAAGTGCTCTCTACAGACCTACAAGTGTTCTCTACAGACCTACAATTGCTCTCTACAGACCTACAACTGCTCTCTACAGACCTACAACTGGTCTCTACAGACCTACAAGTGCCTTCTACAGACCTACGTGCCCTCTACAGACCTACAATTGCTCTCTACAGACCTACAATTGCTCTCTAAAGACCAACAATTGCTCTCTACAGACCTATAAAAGCTCTCTACAAACCTACAAGTGCTCTCCACAGACCTACAATTGCTCTCTACAGACCAACAATTTCTCTCTACAGACTTACAAGTGCTCTCTACAGACCTACAACTGCTCTCTACAGACCTACAATTGCTCTCTACAGACCTAAAATTGCTCTCTGCAGACCTACAATTGCTCTCTACAGACCTACAACTGCTCTCTACAGACCTACAACTGCTCTCTACAGACCTACAACTGCTCTCTACAGACCTACAACTGCTCTCTACAGACCTACAACAGCTCTCTACAGACCTACAATTGCTCTCTACAGACCTACAACTGCTCTCTACAGACCTACAATTGCTCTCTACAGACCTACAATTGCTCTCTACAGACCTACAAATGCTCTCTACAGACCTACAATTGCTCTCTACAGAACTACAATTGCTCTCTACAGACCTACAATTGCTCTCTACAGACCTACAACTGTTCTCTACAGACTAGACCTACAACTGCTCTCTACAGACCTACAAGTGCTCTCTACAGACCTACAATTGCTCTCTACATACCTAGAATAGCTCTCTACAGACCTACAATTGCTCCCTACATACCTAAAATTGCTCTCTACAGACCTACAATTGCTCCCTACAACATAAAACACTTCCTATATATCTAAAACTACCTCCACAGACCTGAAATGGCTTTCTACCTGAATTTACCCTATACGCTTATTAAAGTCACAACTTACCACGCATTTGATTCCAAACTTGTGACCATGAAACTCAGCCACTTGTGTCTTTTCTTGTACGTCCCAGACTCTGACCGCAGGCTGGTGTCCTGTCTGATGACAAAATAGATTATGGCCGTGAGTAAACAATAGAGAGACAATAGAGCGTACAATAAATTAAATTTAGATCAATCTTTCCACACACACACACACACACACACACACACACACACATATATATATATATATATATATATATATATATATATATATATATATATATATAGAGAGAGAGAGAGAGAGAGAGAGAGAGAGAGAGAGAGAGAGAGAGAGAAGGGGGAGACAGACAGACAGACAGCGAGAAAGGTGTGAATACAATAGATTACCTTTATCTTAAACTTTACACCGAGTGAAGACAGAATTATGGTTCTTTTTAAGAGATCAATGAAGAGAATATCGTTGTGGTAGGACAAGGAGGGGGCGGGAGGGGAGTTGTCGTTAGGGAATTAGCCCTGAATGTATTATACGACCTCTCGTCACGGCCAGGTTAAAGGGGAAAATGAAATTTGTTAGGCACATTCATATCCACAGAGGAGGTGGAATCGAGAAATGAGTTACAAATGTGAAGAATATTTTGAGAGAGAGAGAGAGAGAGAGAGAGGGGGGGGGGGGGGGGGGGGGTTGGAGATACAGAAAGGCACAGGAATATATATGTGTGTGTGGTCAGCGCAAGAGCTGCGCAACTAATAATAATAATAATAATAATAATAATAGCAACTAGATTCATCACACAAGCAAAACAAGGGGCGGAATATGGCGTCATAATCGGAAGGGAACTAGTTATCCCGTTTCATAAAACCATGACCTAATTTCAGTAAAGTCTAACACGACACGCGCTTACAGCAGTATCTACCATTTGGCCCACTGCCTGTACCGTCTTACACAACCTGTAGGCTACATAAACTAAAGTACGTCACGTGTGTAAATCAATGACGTGTGCCTACTATTAGGTTCAGTCTCCCTCCTCCTATTTTCCTAAGGTAAGAAGAGCAGCCGTGACCACATCCCGAGATAAAACTGTCACACTGATTACACAAGGGTTACCGCTAATGAAACCCGACCAGATAACGTGTCAAGGTTATCGAGAGGTCAATGGGTGAAACATGGAGTGAAAACAATAATGTCACCGCGGCCAAAGAAAGTGATGTCTTTGTAGGTAGAGGGTTATAATGAAGGCGGTGAAGATACAAAGATCGCAGCCATCAGGAGGCAATCGACAACTGTTGCCACCCAGCCACTAGAGACATACTGGAACATGCTACAATAACTGCTGTAAGATTTGACTAATCCTTTCTGTCAAGAGGCAAATGTCTATTTAGGTGAAGTGATTATCCTTGGCCGAACGGAGGGATGGACGCATGCATGCAGACACGCGCGCGCGCACACACACACACACACACACACACACACAGACAAAAGACCAATCTAGATGTTCTGGATAAGGCGAAAGCTCGAAGACAACTTATCACGAAAACCAGAAAGAGATACTTATCATTTTGTTGGTCATGTTATGAGAAGAAGGAAAGTGGAACATATAGTGACTAGTGGACAGATCTGTGGAAAGAGAGCAGAGAAAAGAAGATTCTTGACATCCTTTTGTCATGGCATGGCAAGATAGCAACACAAGAACTGATACACGCAGCTGCTGGCCGCGGATTGTGGTGATGGATAATCGCTCCACGCCAGTCGGAAGGTATTTGATGATAATGATAATCGTCTTTACTGCACCAGATTTTATCCTATATGGCTCAGTTTCCCACCATAGAGCGGTTAGTCGTCAACAGAGAGTATCGCACAAAACACACCGCTCCAACGACGATTTCGAGAGCTCCAAAACATCAGCACTCGAGAGATCAACGATGCCAAACGAAACCGATCCATGACTTTTAGTGGGTGAGGCAAATGGCTTGACCACTTTTCCGTGGAAGAACAAACAAAAGAAGAATGGGAAATGTAATACGAACTTTACACAATTATATTCACTAAATAATTGTAACTTGGGAGAGTGAAGGATCCTTTTCCACGCCCATAGGCGTATTGGGCATATAGTGTTATACCTATATTTTAAAGGTCAATCGCGCTAGATGGATAATGTGGCCAACATCACGCCGACCGCCTTTACGTCCTATGGCTTTAAATGGTACCCATTTTTATCTTGGGTTACCTGAGCGTCGAGGCCATTTTTTTTAACAAACATCCGGCTCGATACAAATTCGAACCTGCAACACTGGGGCCACAGACGAGCGTCTAGCCGCTACACCACGATGTAGCCTGTAGCCCCAGTGTTTGTTGCAGGTTCGAATCTGTACCGAGCAGGATGTTTGTTTCTAAGTGAAATCAAAGACAGACAGAGGGAGAGCGACAGAGAGGGAGAGCGAGATAGAGGAGAGAGAGGAGATGGGGTAACTTCAATCATCAGAGCCATTTTACAGAAAATGACTTAACCCACACTGTACACTCCTCGCATTTTAAACTACTGCAATTTTTATTCTTTCCATTGCTAAAATCTGAACCGGTAATTTTATTAAACCACTGCCATTCTTTTCTGTCCATTACTATAATCTGAAAATGTAATTTTCGGGTGACAGAAAACCGCATACCTGAAGAAGATCTCTAACGCTCTTGAAAGAAAGGAAAACTGCGACCACAGAAAGGTATTTAAATATCTCAGAGGCAATTACTGGAGGTTTGCAATTTTTGTCTTCGCACCCCCCCCCCCCCCCCCCCCCCCACCCCCCCATCCTCCTCCTTAAAAAAATAGTCAACTACACCTTCAGTTCGCCAGTGATGGTATTTTTGGATATTGATAACAGGTAGTAACAGAAGCTACGGAGTTTCGTGTTTTGTGGGACTCTCTCGACAGATTAACCGCTGCTGTGCTTGGAGATGGAGTCATGTAGAATCTAATCCTAAACAGAAGGGTCCATCCTATCGCCTTTAAAAGCCTTGTGAATGCCTTTCTCTTGCCCGTTATATATAGATGTTAATGTTCCCCTTGGTTAAGTGTTATGCCTCACTAGATCTAGCCGCTCCTTGTTTCTACCATGTGTATTCTATTCCTGCTAGCCTTTCACGGTGACACGAACATGGCTGTGTTATTTAACTACTGCTAACGGGGTGATGATTTTAGCGTTGCTTCAGTTTGCCTGCACTTTATAAAATTAACCCCGAAACCGATGCGAGGGAGACAAATTTCTCCTATTTGGTCATACAACTGAATGGACCGCACAGGGTGGATGCTTCATTTACAGACAGGGACTTGAGTTTAGATTTCATGACGTCCTTACTGCACACGACTGGAGTAATCTGGTTGATGCAGCCGTTAGGGGTGCTTCTGTTATAACAGCGGTTCTCAACCTATGGGTTGTGGCTCTTTTGAGAGTACAAGCTAGATGTTGTGAGGGCCCTTTGAGAGCCAGTGAACAGTGCGGAGGCATTCATTCACCTCACACCATAAAGGCGCTGCGGAGAGTTACCAGGACATCTGGTCGACGCTCAACAAAAGGGAAAGGCGATACGGAAATACAATCAGCCAGTTACAGGAGACTGGGACGGAGCGCTTACTGGATAGTCCCGAGTTCTGTGATGTCTGTCTGTCTGTCTGTCTGTCTGTCTGTCTGTCTGTCGATATTTGTTTGCAAGCACAGGCACCACTTTAATTCCATGCGGATGGACTAATGTCATCCCCACAACCCAACCCCGGTTACGCCCTATAGGCAAACCCCTCCCTCCCTCCTTAGACACTCAGTGTACGCTGTTGGCGTCAAACCCGTCCCCTTTTTTTGCCCCTACCTGCGCGTTGGAGGTATATAGGCTGACCGTCTTTTCATTGAACGAAGTTTTTTCGCCAGGGACACTAGATGAGTATCATTTATTCTATACATTAGAGTCCTATGTAGTCACTTCACAGTTAGAGTCTATTTGTGTAGTGTACTGTGTTGTCCTTTATGTGCTGAGGAAGGCTAATCGCCGCAAAGTCCTTTGTTTGTTTATTGTAATCGATTTTGTAAAGCTAACATAAACTAATTGTTGTTTCTTACCAACTTTTTCTCTTCCCTATAATTTTCTACTCCTTATAAAAACGAGTTCTGTGATGTCGATTCTTAATTCGACATTCAACATTCTTTTGGGGGTCTTACGACTCTTTCACAAATTATACTACAGTTTCATTAATTTGCAACACGTTTTATTGAACTAATTATAATTTTAAAGATAAATGAGTGTGCTATATATTATATTTTCATTAATATTATATTTTCTAACAGCACACTAATTTAACTTCAAATTATAATTAGTTCAATAAAATGTGTTACAAATTAAACAAACTGTAGTTTAATCTGTGTATAAATCTACTCGAAAAACAGACTGAACACACAAGCCTCGCGAACTTGCACAAATAAGGGAATTTCAATTGACTTGGTTGGCCTATCAAAAAGCTGGGGAAGGTCGTGATACCAGATAACAGAAAGGAGATATAAGAAACCACACAATATACAAAAGATGTCGGCGGGAACACATTAAGCAATAGGAAAAGAAGATGTAAGAGACAAAGAGAATGAGAGAATGAGATAAAGTGGGCTGAATGGTCACGAGGCATAGTGTCCGCCTCGAGTGTTGGAAGTCCCAGGTTCAAGCCCCGGTGAAATTTTTCACGTAAACTTCTAGTAATTTCCACGGGTCTCTGGGTAGTAAGAACGGACGCCCATGTGTATTGTTGCGCACTTCAAAAAGCCCTTGGCAGTTGGAAATCAAAAAGAGTAACCTAACTGCACTGCCCGGTAAAATTTAGAGCTAAAAATCTACCCAAAATATTTCCGGGTCCTCGCCGGTGCTACGGAGTTCATGCTTTGCGCTGACATTCCTCAGACTCAGGGTTGAGTTAGAAGAAAAACGGAGCACTTATGGTTACTACTCTTGTGTCATGATGTTGATCCGTTGTATAAACCAAAACAAAACCAGATATAAGAGATATACTAGGCTACAAAAAGAAGACCAAATGATGCCATTTCCTCGCTAAAAGTTCTAATGCACTTGGACAATTTACAAGCTACACATTCATTCATTCAGTAGCATATCCCTCGCTGCCATAACAACCCTCCGGAAAACCTTCCTATCCTGAGCAAGATGTCCTGCGTCTGATACACCCATCTGGAGATCATCTGCCACATCCTGCACCCATCTTCTCCTTGGCCTTCCTCTTCATGATTGTTATGGATTCTTGGCAAAATTTGCAGAAGGTAGTTTGCCGTTGCTTTCCTCCTGAGCAGTGACTATACTAGTCGGTGGCCATAGCCATTGTCTCTACTGATGAGATCATCTGCCTATCGCCGCAGTGCAGA